CTTAACCCTTAAAGCATGCATAGGGCAAGATACCTCCTATGACTAACTACTCGATACGAATATTGACTGTGAGTTGTGTCATTAAAACCGTCAAAAGACAGCGCATTCTCACCTTAAAAAAAAAAATATCCAAGAATAATAACTGCAAGATATATTATAAGCAGCTTTAAAAAATACACTAAAAATTTACCATCGACCTCCTTCCTGAACCACCTTTTTGAAGCCCATAGACAACAACTTTGCACGTATTTGTTTAATAAAATAAAGATATCAAACTATTTTTTAAAATTTTGTCTCTCGTTCGTGGGAAAAAGGGAAACGAGAGTGCGTAATATCTAAATATGGCAAATCATGTGATCATATAATTACGAAATTTGATTATTTCCGACGATTATATATAAATCACATGACAGAATTCTCTAATCACAAAATCGTCACGGGATGTGATTTATTGAGGAGAAGTTATATAAAAATGATAAAAGGTTAAAAAAATTTTGATAATCAACAAAACGAACATTTAATAAAATGGCAAGTATATTATTAAACATTATTTTCCGTTGAAATTTTTTATTAAATTGTTTTTTCAATAATAATAAAGGAATCAAATTCACAAGCATTCATTGAGCCAGGAGAAGTTTTGGAGGAGCATATAATTGACGAACAAATTATCGACGAACAAATTATTGATGAACAAATTATTGACGAACAAATTATCGACGAACAAATAATCGAAGAACCAATTATTGAAGAAGCTAGAAGTCCTATGGAAGAAGGTATAGTATATATTCGGAGTACAATGTTCATTTTTTTTTTTTTCGAATTCGATGTTTTTTCAATTCGACATTGATATTCGATTTGTAAAAACAAATGATTTTTTTTTCTTAAATATTATAATAAAAAATTTTTAATTGAAGACAGTGACGAAATGGTTGAATTTAAAGATGACTCCGTACAAGGATTTTTTAATCATAAAGGTATAAAATACATGTTACATCATTTCCTTTTTCCCCAAATATGTTTAATATACTAAAAGGTAGTGAATTTTTATAAAGATTCTGTTTATGCTATTGATATTAATCCTATTAATGAAGATATAATTATATCTGGTGGTGGAGATGATAAAAGTTTCTTATGGAGATGTGATACAGGAGAACAATTATTTGAATTATCAGGTTAATAGTTTTTTTTTTTTTTTTTAGAGAAAAATCTCTTAATTAGTTTACTTATTTCTCTCAATATTTTAAAATATAAAAAAATCTAGGTCATACTGATTCAGTAACAAATACATTATTTAGTAAAGATGGTCAATATATAGCAAGCGGTGGTATGGATGGTAAAGTTAAAGTATGGAAAGTTGAAAATGGACAATTAATTTTATCATTAGAAGGTTCTGATGAAATTACTGTAAGTAACAGAATTTTTTATCTTAACGAATATAATTTTTTTTATTTGATTAAAAATGAGATGTATTTTATTTTACATAGTGGTTAGATTGGCATCCAAAAGGAAATATTTTATTAGCAGGAGCAAATGATGGTACAATATGGATGTGGCAGAGTAAGTTTTATTTTAGTTTTCGTTTAACATAGTATTTCTGTCTAATTTTTTTTTAAAAAATTAGTACCCTCTGGAAATTGTATGAATGTATTTGCAGGTCATTCATCAATAGTTACAACAGGACAATTTACACCTGATGGTAAAAAAATTGTATCAGGTTCAGAAGACACTTCATTAATAGTATGGGATCCAAAAACTGCCATTTCAACTCTTAAAATATCTGGTAATTTATTTATTAATTATATACTTCTAATATTCTTTTTTTTTTAAAAAAAAAAAAAAGAAAGAAAAAAATTCTAATAAATGTTGTAGTCGTAACATTAAACTCAAATACAAAATATATTGTACTTGGTTTTTACAAAATATCTATATAATTCAGGTGAAGATGCAAGATTTCATAGAGAGGGTATAACGTGTTTAGCTGTTAATCAAGAAAGTACATTAGTGTTATCTGGATCTACCGATACTACTGCCAAACTTGTTAATTTGACAAATGGGAGTGTAAGTTTTTCATATCTTTCGTAATTTTTTTTTTTAAAAAAAAAATTTATTCAACGCGACTTATAAAGTAAATGGCTCAAAAAATAAAAAAAAATAAAGACATGACTAAGATGTTGCCATAATGTTTATTCTAATAGATTATTGGATCATTCGAAGATCATACAGAATCTGTTGAGACCGTTGGATTCTCAGATATGTAAGTTTGATTTTTTTATTTTAAAAAAAAAGAGGAAAAAAATTTATTTATTTATTTATTATTATTTTAGTTTACCATTAGTAGCAACGGGTTCTATAGATGGTAAATTAAATGTTTGGGATGTTAAAACAATGCGCTTACGTCAAACATGTAATCACGATGTAAGTAAATTACTTTTGCGCATATTGAAGTTTTCTTTTGTACATGCAGAGTTAAACTAATGACATACATTTTTAGGATGCTATAATTAAATTACAATGGCATAAGGATTCTCCTCTGTTAACTACTTGTTCTGCTGATAGAACCGTACGTGTATGGGATGGTAGAACTGGTAAATGCGAGACAACTTTTCATGGTCATCAAGATGCTATTCTTGGATTTGCTATGTCAAGGTATGTTGTAATTTATATTCATGTTAATGACTTAAGTTTTTACTAATTTAATATTTATTTTTGAATAGGGATGGTAAAAGAATTGTTACTGCTAGTGATGATCATGTTTGTCTTGTATTCAAATATTAATAATATATTACATTTATTAAATTAAATTAAAATTAATTCAAGTCATTCTAAAAACATATTTTTCATTCTCCAAACAAATCTAAGGTAATAACGACAAAATTTGCTCAGTTAATAATGAAAAGATGCAATAAACAAAAAAAAACAAAAGAAAAAAAAAAAAAGTTCAATTTTATTAAAAAGAATCTAAATAATTAATAAATGCTAATTTATGTATAATGAATTATCAACAAATATATTATAACATGAACATGAATATTAACAAGGAAAAAAGAAAAAAAAAAGTTATTTGGGAATTTGGAAATAAAAGTCGACAATGTAAACAAAAAGGAAGAGAATGGCAAGTCATAATAAAAAGAAGTCCCTAAGGTATTTTATCTGTTTTCAATAATATGGTCGACGAGGATTGTTCTAGGAAGGGCAAACCGTTAGTAGTGCACAAAACGTATGCAAATATAATACTATATATCTATATATATATATAAAAAACGTAAAACGCGAATGTCTCAAAATTAAATCAAACGTTCTTTCAAATATACCCAATCGAATTCGAAAGGAAACGCGAAAATTGTACCATTTCGTATTCATATTATCTCATTGAAAAGAAGTAAAATTTTTTCACATACCAGAGGATTTGGTCTAAATCTGTATGCTAACATCATTCGCTTGCGATAAATTTCAAATTCATCATCCTCTTCATCTACCCCTTCAGGCTTCGTTTGTCCTAATCCAGCATTTGCTGGTCGTGAATCAGCCCTAAAACAAATGTAAGTTTGTTATGTGTAAATTCGAATGATTTTTAATGAGATTATACGTTCATACTTATTTATAGGAGCAGCAATACCCTCCCCAGATTTTCCTAAACCGGATCCCGCCTGCCAGCCTTGTTTCATCAACATTTTAAATCCAATGTTTGACTGATCCAATTTGTTACTAGCATAGTCTTCATATGTTGGAGTTGTTCCACCAGTTTTGATTGCTTTAACTTTTTGTTCAAATTTCTCCAATTCCTCCTTGGGCAAAAAGTCAGCGATATGGTGTGCACGTTTAGCTTCAGCATGAGAAGTTAACAAAGCCGCTTGTTCTTTTTTTGCGAATTTATTAATAATTTGCTTTAAAATGTTTAGATAATCAACTTAATTCTTCCCTCAATTGATATCTTAATCTTACCCGCTGTCTTTTTCATTTCTTCTGCTCTTTTTTTATGCTCCCAAGTACCACCATCTGTGATTTCATCTTCTGGGTAAACCCACTTGGATCCGATACGAACCATACCAGATTTGTACGTATCCGAATATTTAACAAATTTCCTTTTATCTGAAAAGGTATAACTTTGCTGTGGGGGTGCAGAATTCACTGAAGTTGCTGCTGTTGTGGAACTGGTACTGGTACTGGTACTGGTATTAGTGCTGGATCTCACTAGAGAATAAGAAGAGGTAGAGGAAGAGGAGGAAGTATAACCAGCACCTCCAGCATTTGCACTTTGAATTGATTTTAAATCAATTGAGAGTGCGGGTGTTTCTTGTACCGTCGTAATGCCTGCCTGATCCCAGCGACTTCTCTTTCGCTTTTTTTTATTTTCCCCTGTACTTCCAACATTATTGTTAGTATTAGTCGCTTCCAAAGTATTAGTTTCAGTTGGTTCAGTTTTTATTGTAACAATCTGTTCAATACTAGTACTAGACTTTTGCTCTTGTAGATTTTCCGCATCGTCGTCTCCTAATTTTACATGTTCTGGTGGTTTTGATATGGCAAAACTAATTTTGGGAGGATTGTTAACTCCGACTGAACCAACTGATCCATTTACTTTAGGTTCAAGGTCGGCTGTTAGCTCAGGTCCTGATTCTGACTCGAGCCTTTCAGATAATGTAAAAGTACATTCATTATTACTATTACTTAATGTACTCATCTTGTCCATTCTCAAAAAGGTCTCGTTCGAATTAAAAAATGAATCTTTAAATGTCAGGTAAAGTTCTGACATCACCGCCGATTGTATCACGTGATTCAAATTACTAATCACGGAAAATGCTTAACACGTAGTTCTTAGAAATTATATGGTGCATAACACTTAAACTCATCAAAAATGTCGATCAGTCCGGCAACTAATTTTATTGGATAAAATTAATTTTAATTGCATGTATTAAAAAAATTTAATTATCTAATTTCTTCTAAGACACCCTCTGGAATTCTTCTGTGAGATTTGTATTGTTTTACCGCATACTCAACTAATTTCCCATCAATACCTTTTCTATAAAGATCCATATAATGCCAACATTTTCTTGAAAACTTTCTAATAGTTATTAAGGTTACTGAATCAAGACTTTTAGGAACTACTTTTTGTAATCCCTCCCATGAGTAATTACAATTTTCACGTGAATACCTTTTGACAGAATCCCAATATCTCTCAATGAAATTTAATTCACAGTGAAACTTAGGAAAAAAAATGCATTTATGTCTTGTATTTTCAATTAATTCTTTAATAGCACCTTTTTGAGCAAGAAAATCAGATTCCAAGGATATTACTCGACGTGCACAGCAGGAAGTTTTCGAAACATTTTGATTCTTTTCTTTACATTATTATATTCTAATACTAATCCTCCAGGTGGCCATTTTCCACGTTTCATTAATATTTGTTTAATTCTTTTAAGCTTATCTCGAAGTTTCTCATCATAATGTATTATTGGAAATACTATTAATTGTAGCTGATTATTTAGCCCAAAGTAAGTATCTCGCATAATTAGTTGCTTATTACTTAAATTTAAATTTATTTTACTTGCAACCAAAGTATCTTTACTAAATGTAGTATGATTAAAGCTATTATCGAAAGCAAATATAGTTATATAATCTGGATATAAAGCTTCAAAAATGGGAATTACCTTATATTCAATTTGTTCAAGAAGATGCTCTCTGTCCAATAACTCTCATGATTTATGCCAGGTTTTAAGTAATATTATACTTCTTCAGGTACATAAAACGTCTGTCAATTTCAGTTAGAAATTCGCTAACCATAATTAATCTTTCATTTCCTTTTTTTCGTAGTGGCATTTTATCATTTTTAGTTTACAATCCATGTTTTCCATCATTTAAATAGAAAATGCATTCGTCATGAACTACAAAAACTCTTTCTTTTTCTCCTTTGGATAAGTCAGGGCATATTCGATTCATAAATTCACCTTCATATTTGGATATATATTTTTCATGTTCAAATATTTTTTCTAAAAACTCTTTTTGATATTGTAGAACATCTTTTCTTTTATGTCCATCATAATATATCCCACAGCGATATTGTTGAAATGAATAACCAAGAACCTTAAGCCTTTTATTTCATAAAATACAATTATTAATACTGTATTTTGGATTGATTTATAAAATTTTCTCGTGTTTTTAAGATATAGTTTATATTT